CAAAAAGTCTCAAAATTTTAGCAACTGAAATCCAACAACATATTAAAGGAAAACACACATGGGTCAAGTGGGGTTTATCCCAGGAAAGCAGGGTTGGTTGAATACTCAAAAATTAATGTAATTTACCGTATTAACACACTGAAAAAGAAAAGGCATCGGACAAAATTCAACGTGCATTCTTGAAAAAAACTCAGCAAACAGAAGGAAATTTCCTCCACCTGATGCAGGAAGAACCTCCAGTAAGCACCATACTTAATGAGGAAAGACTGAATTCCCTAAGATTAAGAATAAGACAGGGATATCCACTCTTACTGCTTCTGTTCAACATTGTATTGAAGGTTCTAGCCAGACATTAGGCAAAAGAAAATAAAAAGCAAAAGATCATGGATATCTCAACTGGTGAGTTTACCAAGAATGCAGGATTCAAGGACACCTCACCTAGCTGGCTCAGTCTGTTGAGAGGCAACTCTAGATCTCAGGGTTGTAAGTTCAAGTTCCGTATCGGGTACAGAGATTACTTAAAAATAAAATCTTGAAAAAAAGAATGCAGGATTCAAGATCATACAAAAATCAGCTCTATTTCTATGTACTAGCAATACGTAATGAGTAATTTTTAAAATGCCATTTACAATTGCATCAAAAATATGAAATATGTTGGGATAAATATGGCAAAGGATGGGAAAGACCTCTAACACTGAAAACTTACAAAATATTGCTAAGACCAAATGAAGTCAGTCTAAGCAAATAAAGAGATACATCTTGTTCATGCATCATAAAAATATTATTAAGATTTTCTTTGCTCCTCAAATTTCATGCAATCATAAAATCCCAACAGGATTTTTTTTTGGTGGAAATTGAGAAATTAATTATAAAATTCATATGAAAGACAAAGGACCCAGAATAGTTCAAACAAACAAATTTGTTTTGAATAAGAACAAAATTGGAGGCCTAACTCTACCTAGTTTCAAGAATTATTATGAAGTTAACAGCAATAAAAATAGCATTTTGTACAAATAGATCAATAAAACAGAACAGAGTCCAGAAATAAGCCCACACATATGTGGATAATTGGTTTTTGATAAAGTCACAAAGACAATTATAATGGAAAAAAGGATAGACTTTTAAAGAAATGATGCTGGAACAATTGGACAACCATTAGCAAAACAACAAAAAAGAACTTGGAACCATACCTTACACCATATACAAAAATTAAAAATGATCACAAAGGGGCACCTGGGTGGCTCAGTGGGTTAAAGCCTCTGCCTTCGGCTCAGGTCATGATCCCAGAGTCCTGGGATTGAGCCCCTGCTCAGCAGGGAGCCTGCTTCCTCCTCTTTCTCTCTGCCTATCTCTCCGCCTACTGTGATCTCTGTCTGTCAAATAAATAAATAAAATCTTAAAAAAAAATGATCACAAAACTAAAACCATAAACTTTTAAAAGAAAATAGAAGGGGGTGCCTGGGTGGCTTAGTCATTGAGCATCTATCTGCCTTCGGCTTGGGTCATGATCCCAGGGTCCTGAGATGGAGGCCTGATTCAGGCTCCCTGCTCACTGGGAGCCTGCTTCTCCCTCTACCACTCTCCCTGCTTGTGTTCTCTCTCTGGCTGTCTCTCTCACTGTCAAATAAATAAAAATCTTAATTAAAAAAAAATAAGAGATGTTTGTCACGTTATGCCTAATTAGGTTAGGCAAATATTTTTTTTTTTTTAAAGATTTTACTTATTTGAGAGAGAGCAAGCACAAGCAAGGGGAGGGGCAAAGGGTGAGGGCAAAGCAGACTCCTTGCAAAGGCAGGGAGCCCAACGTGGGGCTCAGTCCCAGGACCCTGGGATCATGACCTGAACTGAAAGCAGACACTTAATTGACTGAGCCACGCAGGTGACCCTGCAAAGATTTCTTAGATACAGTATCAAAAGCACAACCCATAAAGGAACAAGTTGATAAATTATACCTCACCAAAATGAAAAACTTTGACTCCTTAAAAGACATTATTAAAAGAATAAAGATAAGAAACAGCCTGGGGAGAAAATATTTGCAAAACATTTATCAGAAAAAGTACTTGTATCCAGAGCATATATAAAGAACTCTCGAACTCAACAATTTAAAAATTGCAATGAAAAGAAATAGACTACAGATTCGAACATAAGACTTCACCAAAGAAGATATATGAATGGCCAATAAACAGATGTAAACAGTGTACATCAAGAGACTGAGAAGACAAGCCACAAAACTAGGAAATAATTATAGAAGACATATCTGATAAAGAACTGTTTGAGACATTCAGGCCGCTCTTACAAAAACCCCAAAGATACGGTGGCTTATAAACAAATTTCTCACATTTCTGGAAGCTGGGAAGTCCAAGAAACGTGCTGGCATCACTAGGAAGCTCTGTGGGGCCACTTTTGGAAATCAGCTATCAAGCCACGAAGACATGAAGGAATTTTAAATGCGTATTACTAAGTGACAGAAATCAATCTGTCAAAGGCTGCATATTGTATGATTCCAAATATATGACATTCTGGAATTGGTAAAACTACAGAGACAGTAAAAAGATCAGTGGTTGCCACTGGTTGGGGAGGGAAGGGATAGAAGGATGGATAGGTAGAACACAGGATTTTTAGGGCAGTGTAACTATTCTGCATGTTACTATAATGATGGATATTATACATTTGTCAAAACATTATGCATTTGGACATTAAGCCATGCCTTCCTATAAACTATAAACTTTGCATGACAATGATGTGTGAATGTAGATTCATCAATTACAACAAACGTGGCACTTTGGTGTGGGATGTTGATGCTAGGGTAGGGTGTGCTGGTGTTGGATCAGGGAATATATGGGAACCCTTTGTACTTTCCACTCCATTTTGCTGCGAATCTAAAACTTCTCTAATATATATATATATATATTTTTTTTTTTTAAGATTTTATTTATTTATTTATTTGTCAGAGAGAGAGAGAGAGAGAGAGAGAGAGCGAGCACAGCAGGCAGAGTGGCAGGCAGAGGTGGAGAGAGAAGCAGGCTCCCTGCCAAGCAAGGAACCTGATACGGGACTCAATCCCAGGACTCTGGGATCATGACCTTAAGTTAAACCAAAAGCAGTGACTTAACTGACTGAGCCACCCAGGCGTCCCTCTAAAAAAGTATTTTTAAAAAAGGTGTTGGATGTCATTAGACATTAGGGAAATGCAAGGTAAAACTACAACGAAAATCTATTACAGGCCTACTAGAATGCTAAAATTAAGGTCGCCATCAAATGTGCGTGGGTGACTATATGAAGTAATTGGAAGTCTCATATACTGCTGGTGGGAATGCAAAATGTATAATCATTTTGGAAAAATTAAACATATTCATACCGTATGAGCCAAAGAAACTTTTAGGATGGTGAATATTGTTACTATCTTGATTTTGGCGATGGTTTTATAGAGGTATACATGTCAAAATGTATCAACCGGTGCATTTTAAATATATGCAACTTATTGTATACCAATTATATCTCAATAAAGCTGTCTGGAAGAGAGAGCTAACATCCAGCATAGGACCATGATTTTGGAACAATTATTAATGCTATCTCAGTGTGGAAAATGACCAAAGCGTTATAGGAATTCTGATCCCCCAATTAGCAAGAATGGTGCCTACATTTAAGAAAAATCTATCTTAACCATAGAAATTTGCTTGAAATTTTTTCACTTATTTCCCCACATGGTCTCTGTGACAATTTCAACTGTAGTAATCTGTTTATTTCTAACTGCTGTAATAATTCTCCTACCCTTATAGTCCCCACAGTTTCTCTGGCCCCAACCCTTTCCATGTATCTCAGGGATTAACTATTAGAGAAGTTGAGGATGGGAAGGGGGCCTGGTAGAGTGGTTTTATCAGAAGATAAGAGCAACCAGCCTAGAAAAAGATCATTTGGAGCTGAGCTAAGCCCATTACCCAGATCACAGTGGCACTGGATGTGCTGAAGCTGTCCTCTCTTCTGTTCATGATTACAATTGGGTTTTGACACTAGACAAAGTTCCCAAATAGAAGACGGAGGAAGGAACATACAGTACTCAAGAAAACAATGATATGTAACTTATACCTGTAAACTCCTAAATTGTGAGGGCCTGGGGCTGCTCTGGGCCCCAACGGAAATCAAGCAGTAATGAGCACCTTGTTAGCACACACGAGTAATATCAGTAAATTGTAAAGACCAGTTGAGTAGCCTAATAAAAAAAGATAAATTATTTAGTTCTTTAGGTCCTTACCTAGCTTATGCCTTCTCTATGGCTCAGCAGAAAAATCAAAACTCGGGGCGCCTTGGTGGCTCAGTCGTTAAGCATTTGCCTTCCGCTGGGGTCATGATGCTGGGGTCCTGGGATCCAGCCCCGCATGGGGCTCCCTGATGGGCGGGAAGCCTGCTTCTTCCTCTCCCACTCCCTCTGCTTGTGTTCCCTCTCTCGCCCTGTCAATTAAATAAATAAAATCTTTTAAAAAAAACAAAACTCTGTATTTGAGGTCAGTCATACCTCCATTCTTCCTGCTATGTCTGAATAAAGCAAATATTAGAAAGAAACGCATCCAGCCTAGTAAGCATCATGGGTCTCTCAGAGTTGATTGTGCTCTGGGACCTTTGGCTGTCAGGCCCAACCCAATAAATATTCATTCCCCCCGCCCCGGGGGCTAATATTTACTGCTTCCAAATTCTTTTCCTCCCGCTCTTGAGCTACGGTGGTTGGGGACTTCGGGTGAGTGGGTTCTTCTCAGGCGACACGGCAGACCAGGTCGGGGGCACGGGCTAGCAGTGTTCAGGTGCTCTGTGGGCAGAGCTGCGAGCTAGAAGACCCAAGTGAAGTGATGAGTCAACTTCGGTTGGCAGGAGAGGGAACGGGCTCACGGAGGACCCAGTTCCCGCTAACCAGGTTCCTGACCCTGGGATTTGTCCGGATGGGCGTCGTGGGCACAGGGAGAGGAGCGCGTTTGGGTAAAGGGTTCAGAATTTGGAGTGCGACCGACCTGGTTCGAACAGAGCTCTGCGACTCGGTGGCCGTGAGACCTCGTCCACACGCCCTCTCGGACCGTCGGTTTCCTCCTCGCTTGGCGGGCCGCGGGATGGGGCGTCGACGCGCGGCTCCACACGCCTGCGGCCGGGCGCACGGGAAGCCCCGAGGCCCGCTTGGGCGCCACGCCGGCGCCCCCTGCCGGCCGCCCGCGCACGGCGCTCGCGGGCCCGCGCCCAACGTTTGGCCCGTAGACGTCCGCGGCCGGATGCCCAGCGTTCGCACGGTCCTCGGCCTCCTGGCGGCTTTGGCGGCCTGCGGCGCCGTCGCCTTCCTGGGCTACTGTGTTTACTTCGACCGGAAGCGGCGTGGCGACCCCGCGTTCAGGCGCCGCCTGCGGGACAGTGAGTGAGACCGCGGCGGCGGGCCGGGTGGGCGGAGGGCTGGCCCACGGGCCGAGGGCTCTGCGGGGCGCACGCGGGCGTCGGGATGGCTCCCGAGCCGCGGGTGCCACGTTGTGTTTGCAGAAAGAAGAGCCCAGCAGCGGAAGGCTGAGGGACCGGGCGCCCAGGTGAGGTGCTTAGCGACGCCGAGACCGGGAGTTATAGTGAGTGACCTCCCGCTGGGTCTCGGAGTCTCCCGAGCAGGCATTTCCCATCGCCTCTCTGCGCACCGGTTCCCCGCTTACGTTCGGCCTAGGTGTGCTTTTTATAGTGCGCTTGCAAAAGGAAGGGAAGGAAGAACCAGTTGGAGTTAGGAAAAGGCTCATCCCATTTTAAAAAGAGAATTCTTGGGGACAGCACATACAAAACAAAAACCCTCCAACTATAACAGACCAAACCTGAAGTGACAGGCCAGGGAGTTGAAATTTGGGGTCAAGGATTGTCCACCCTACCTACCTTTAAAGACCAGTCCTGGATATGGTACCAATGATGACACCATCCTGTGACTCTGGTCACCTTACTGAACCAGGTTGAAGCAAACCACAGCATGCTTCTGAACACCACCAACTGCCCTGCCAGCCCCTCACCATGCCCTTTGCCAAATCAGCAAACACTGTTATTACCCTAGGCAAGAAAACAAATTTGCAACCTACAAAACTAGGTGTGTTGTAGTTAATTACACAGGGATTTCTGCGGTGTGCACTTAGGAAGTTGGGTAAAATACAGATGAGAGCTATTACAAGCATCTCAACTTAATTTCAATATGCCATGGATTTTTTTTTAATTGCCTGAAATTATAATTCCATTTTAAGAAGTTGTTTTAAATATTATAAAGAACAACTGTGTTTATCATACTTTGGATTTAGAGATTAGGTTCAAGATGTTCTTTTTAAATAAAAATTAAATAATTTTGATCAATAACCTTATACCTTACATGCATTATTCATTGTTAAATATTTTGTTACTCTTTTAGTTGTGGGATCCAGCAAAGAATGAAAAATTGCAAGAACTTTTTTTGCAAGAGATACGAATGGGACAACTTTGGTTATCCAGAGGTGAGAATGTAAATACTCTTTTGTAAGCAGTTACTTATGATAATATATGTTGAAAAAATATTTGATTGGTATTTGTATGTCAAAAAACTTGGGAGTACCTGGGAGGCTCAGTCATTTAAGCCTCCTGACTCTTGATTTTGCCTCAGGTATGATCTCAGTGTTGTGAGATTGAGCCCCATGTCTGGCTTGGAGCTGAGTGTGGAGCCTGCTTAAAATTCCCTCTCTCTCTCTGCCCCTACTCACCCACCACTCTTTCTCTTTCAAAGGTAAAAAAAAAACAACAAAAAACAACCCACAAAAAAACCTAGATGTGTTAACCAACTTGCTTTCAAGAGATTTTTTCACTTGATCATACTTTTCATCTCACCATATTATATACATATCATTCGGGTTTCTTGGGAATGGGCACACGGAGAAGCAAAGCCAAATACAGTAACACTTCATTTATTGTCAGGTAAAATTCTAAGTAAATGACTTTTCCAAGTGACTAAATGTTTTATGAATTAAAACTTTAAAAAAATGAACTGTTTTATAAAAATTTTCCTGCATTCTTAGAGTATTCTTAACACAATAATTACTTATTTTTGATGATGAAATCATTATAAATGACCATTCTTGTACTGTGTCTGATGTAGTAATGAAGGAGCTACCTTGGAGCTATCTTGGACTTAATGGCCATAAACTTATTTTGAATTATAATTTATCCCCACGTAATTCCACATACTTTTGAGAAGGCTTCACAATATCATTAGGTAAAATGATGGTATAAATAACATAATAATAAATAATATAAATAAATTTATAAATATAAATAATAAATAATATAAATATCTTATAAATGCTGTATGTAATAATCATGTCTTTGTTCTGGTGTTAAGCCTGGAAAGGAAAATAATTTGTTTTCGGACTTCTTTTGTAAGGGATGTAAGGGATGTAAGTGTTGCAGATTTCCTCTCATCACAGTGCCTGTAGCTGTTCTTGCTCTTTTATCTTTTTTAAAAAGATTTTTTCAGAGGCAGCATCCTCCAGAATTTATGAAAAACAAAGTCAAGATCCTGGACAATTCATAGCAATACCCAAGATCTTTACTTTGAATCAGTGGCTTAATGCCATGATAAAGGTTTTGAGAAACGAGTAGTCATTGCACATTAATCGTTATAATTTGAAGTTTTAGTATTTTATTTAATACTAAACTTTTCTTCTGGGACGTTTTATAAATGGGCTAAAATATCTTAAAAATGACAAAATTAGTTGGAAATGACTTAAATGATATAAACAGGAATGATTTTATACAAGGTAGTAAAGTATAAACTTGAAGGACCTTTGGGGCGCCTGGGTGGCTCAGTGGGGTAAGCCTCTGTCTTGGGCTCAGGCCCTGATCCCAGGGTCCTGGGATCAAGCCCTGCATTGGGCTCTCTGCTCAGCGGGGAGCCTGCTTCCCTTCCTCTCTCTGCCTGCCTCTCTGCCTACTTGTGATCTCTGTCAAATAAATAAATCTTAAAAAAAAAAAAGGTAACCTATCTCCCATCAGTAACAGAAGACAGTCTTTAAAAAACATTCAATACCCCTGGTCTTGCAAACACACATTGTAGAACACAAACATTTCTAAATCAAGAGTGCACTTTTTAATAGTAATTTGGGTCACAACAGTATTCATCTTGCAGCTTGATCACAGTGAATCTAATAGGCCGCTCAACATTTTCCCCATTTATAATCTTTACTCTTTTTATGATAAGTAATCCGTAGTTTGACATTTTTTTTTTTTTTTCCATTTTAACACTTGGTGCTTTCTTGGTAATCTGTGGAATGTTTATTTGAAAGAACATTAACATTTTGCTTTAAACCTTATCCGTTTCAGGAGAGTGTCAGTTGGGGGTTGAACATCTCAGCACTGCCCTTTTAGTGTGTGGACAACCACAGCAACTTCTGAAGGTTTTCAAACACACACTCCCTCCTCAGGTATTTGAGATGCTGTTGCACAAAATTCCCCTTATTTGCCAGGTGAGCACATACTTGTCTTTCCTAAATGGACACAGTAAATAACCATGTTAGGCTTGATTACATAAAAATAGCAAAGTTTGTGTATGGATGGGAGCATTATATGAGTAAAATTTCTGAATTTTTCGTTGCTTTTCTTGCCTTATGATGAAACAAGCTTATTTTTTCATGTTCCTTTGACTACAGTGGATTGTGTATTTTGAGTCTTATAGATGTTTCAACATTTCAACTTTAAAGGTAGCACTGTTAGTATTTTGTCTTTGTACCTTTAAAGACCTAATGATTACTGGCTGCAATGTCAACAGAGGCCTGTAAGTTAAATGGTATGTTAGTTAAATGATGCAATAGCTTAAAAATAAGATGTAATTCAGAAAACCATTAATTTATCAAAGCAGAATACTACTTTTGTCTTCAAATATGACAAAACATAAAAATCACTTTGGTAATGGAAACATATAGGCTAATTTAAATTAGTGTTCTCTTAAGTGCAACTTTAGATTGGTACCATATGAAATCCACTCATAAGCCAATTTACTAGTGGGTATTAGTCTACTTAACCTTTACCAAATTTCTTGGTATATTTATGCATCAACTAGAATTTCCTGCAGATGCTTGGATTTGTTTTAGGATTCATTTTGCCATAATAAACTACTTTAACTTCGGTTCACTTTTTATTGCACTGATCACATGTCATGGCTGAGAATACACTGTATAATGTTGGACTGACTCAGAATCATTCATGTTGGACTCAGCTTTTGAACAAAACACAAAACAGTCTCCACTAAAGCATATTAGTCAACTCTTACACATTCCCAAGGTAGTCTCAGATGGGATGTTTCCTGTACACATATGAAAAATATGGCTAGGATACAAATGTATAATGCCCACCCTGACACAATAAGGGAGGCAAGAAATGATCGTGTGTTGAAATGATTATCAAGTAACTATTCTATGTATTTACCAGCAATTTGAGGCAGACATGAATGAACAGGAATACTTGGAGGATGATCGTGATTGAAAAACATTTCAACGTACCCACAGTCCAGTCAGAATACTATGGTACTATATATATATAGTATAAACAACTGTTTAGTGGTATTTCCATTTATTTTACTTTTAGTAATAAAAATTTGTTTCTATCTCATACATGATTGAACACATATTTTGCTTTAAAATTAATAGTCACAATTGAAGAAACAATGGTTTATTTTTCTAATGAAATTACCAAGCTGCTGAATCTTAAGGCCTCAACAAATGTTGCATCTTATTATTTTCATTGAACAATAAGACCTTCTATTTTGATTATTCTCGGTAAACAGCAGTTTTGTTTCTCCAGTTGTTTCCGTTTGCCAAAGTCATGACTGACAGTTTAATAGGGTGGCTACTGCTTTCCTGGGATTCTATCAAGATGAATCCTCACTTCCATCACAACCGCTGCTGCCAATCTTTCATCAAAAGTCCATCCATCAGGACTTCTCTATCGTGGTTGGCCAAGAAGTCCTGCCTTGGCTGCCAGGGCTTCATTCTGCTGAATATGATACTCCTGAAATCGCATGGATATTCTCTGTGTCATTTTTAAATATTTCTGTAAGCAGTGTTCAGAACAGGTGGTCTAGAAATAGAGAAGATCCAAGAGGCAACACAGAAATGTTAATTTTTAAAAAGTGCACATATTCTAAATGAACAACCATGGGGTACTTTTCTTTGAATATATAAGAACTAAATGGTTATGAATGAGTAGCAGGTGATCATAACTTTCAATTGTTAGTTTTATCCATTTACAAGAATTAACATATACTGAATGTCTATCAGTTTGTAAGCACTAAAAACAATGGTATGTCCCTGCTTTTTCCATCCCTCATTCTGATTGTTAAAACGTAGGCCCAGGAGTAACTCTGTTCCTTTTAAATGAGAAACTCCATTCTGCACATTCTTAAATTTCAACATTTCTTTTTAACAAGAATTACACTTTAACGAGAATATTATACTTTAACGAGAATATTTTAAGCTCTGTCATTTATTTAACAAGGACTTGTTGATTGCTGGTTATATGTTCTTGGCATGAATGGTGATCAACATCTGACACTGGAGGAAGTTTATGTCACTTTTAGCCAATATAAATGTTTTGATGAGGATATTAAAAATTAAGATTTCTCAGAGGATTGAGTTTGCGGAGTCCACCTATGCAATATGAGCCACCATATTCAAGCTCCACTTTTTTCAAAATTAACTAGAGTTGTCAGGGTCAGACAGAAGAGCCGTATCAAGATTTTCAAGCCAGGCCATTTTGACTGAAAGCTAATTAGTAAGAATCTCTGCTACGGAACAGTAACTCAGCAAGCCCTAGGCATCTTATTTAAAAAAAAAAAAATTAAAAAAAAAAAGGTGGGGAGGCGCCTGGGTGGCTCAGTCCGTTAAGTGTCTGCCTTCAGCTCAGGTCATGATCCCAGGGTCCTGGGATCGAGCCTACATCGGGCTCCCTGTTCAGTAGGGAGTCTGCTTCTCCCTCTCCCTCCGCTTGTTCTCTCTCTGAAAAATAAAAGCTTTTAAAAAATTAAAAAAAAAATCTGCCATGCTACAGTGTGTATATATATATATGACATACTATCATATTAAATTTGGGATCATTAAATTCAATGCCATGGGTCCCAGACTGCTTCAGTTCCTCTGAGCAATGGAACATATTAAGCAACGCAAATTCCTGTAGTAACTAGGAACAAGGGAAATGGTTAGAGGCATCCCATTTCTATTTTCTATGACAAGCTTAGAGAATTTTTAGTGGGTTGGGCACATTTTTCATACCTCTTCAGGTTTCACTTCTCTTGTTGTGAAGTCTTTAACACAATCCAAAAAGCAGGTTTCTGTAAGTTTATTGTAGGTTCCAAGAAACTCCTTAAACTACAAATAAATCAGAACATTATTTAATATTCAGTTTTTTAAAACAAACATGTTTTGAAACTTTAATTACTGATGTTTTATATCTGAGGAAAATACCCTGTAATACTTGAAATCAACAGTTACTTTCACTAACTTAAATGGGCATAAATAAACATGTATGGTACGATCTACCAAAAGATAGTCCAGTTTTCTAGTTGAATATTTATTTGTTCCTGGATATCTGTCAAATTATTTGAAAAATAAATGTTTCATATCATTTAAAATCCATTTCTAGAAATGAAATATGAAGTTATCTTGTGCGATCACTAACATGGTTGCACCCAGTTATGCCTTAATTTTTTTGCAAAATTCTTTTTTGTTAATTATAATACCTTACCTGTTTTATCTGATCAGATTCTGGTATTTGTGCAGCCATATTCTAAAGGTATGTTTATTAGTCACCTGATTTAAAGATTAAGAAAAAGTTTGTCAGTCTGTGAACAAATATTTTTAGGCTAGCTAAAGAGTTAGGTAATTAAAACAAGAACAGTTTATGAAAAGAACTGAAACAAAGTTTACCTGAAATTATTGTTCTCATTTTATAAATTTCTAATGGAGTATGTAATTATATCCCCCTCCCTCCACAATCCCCCAGGTCCTTAATGGCAATGAAGAACCCTACCATTTACAGAATTCTATTTTTTAATGCTGGCTATGGGACCCAAAAGCCCCTGCCTGCTATCCAAATCTCCAGTTTTAAAACAGCTTGCTCTGTTACCTTGAAAGGTTACTTGTTAAAGCCTCGTTCCTAGTAGAGTTTTAAAGGAAACCAAGAGATCTCTGGTGTCTTCCTGCAAGTACTTAATCTTAACTATTCCGCTGGTTGCTAATGTAACTTTGACCTCTGATAATAATGATTCTTTCACTATCTCTATATAAATACAAAGTTTCTATTAATTGTTCAAAAACATCATCCACATGGAACATCTGCATGGCTCAGTCCATTAAGCTCAGACTTGTGATTCTGGCTCAGATCATGATCTCATGATCTCATGGCATTGTGGGATCAGGCCCTAATGGAGCTCCATGCTCAGCAGGGAGTCTGCTTAAGATTCTCTCTCCCTCTACCCCTCCCTGCCCCACCCCAACATATATACTCTCTCTCTCAAAAAAAAAAAAAAAGACATTAATAGTAAAGTACTATAAAAACATCTGCATGTAAGTGGACCAGTGTAGTTCAAACCTGTGCTATTGTTCAAGGGTCAACTGCCTATGTTTTTACCATATAAAATACCTGAAAAATACCAACAGTTAACTGAAGGTCACAATTTTTCAAGTATTGCTGTGCTGCCCCACCAGGGGCACCTGGGTGGCTCAGTGGGTTAAAGCCTCTGCCTTTGGCTCAGGTCATGATCCCAGGGTCCTGGGATCGGGCCCCGCATCAGGCTCTCTGCTCAGCAAGCAGCCCGCTTCCCCTGCTCTCTCTGCCTGCCTCTCTGCTTACTTGTGATCTCTCTCTGTCAAATAAATAAATAAAATCTTTAAAAAAAACACCACCAACCAGTCAAGAGACAGAAGAGTCTATATTATACAGTGCAGTTTAGGACTTGTGCTTCTGGAAGGATGGAGCAAGAGATGTGCTTTTCCCTATTCTTCAAACTAAGTACAACTAAAAACCCTGGACATGACATATAAAACAAACACAAGACTCTAAAAGGAAGAGAAAAGAAAGTATATTGGCCAGGGCCTTTGGGACCTGAGAAACAAAACAGTGGGGAATTTTACTTTCTCTCTTTTCTGTCTCCTATATCACAGAGTTGGAGCTGAAAAAGCCAGCAATCTACAAATGCCAATGGGCACAGTCAAAACCCCCCATCACTCCAAATCTGGCCCTCTCTAGCCAAAGGGCCAGGAAAGGGGAAGCCTGTAAGATAGAAAACTTTTAAACAATAACTGTATACTCCAGGCAAACAAAAACACGGTGGCTTGCATCCCCCATCCACCACATCACCATAAGCCAACTGAGGAGCCTAGATTTCCACCCTCACTAAGCTGTAATGAGGCACTAAGTCCCCCAAACTTCACAGAAGGGAGATTAGGAAGCAAGGACTTTCATCCTTACTGGGCTTTAATGACGGCTCCCCCATCCCCAATAAGTGTCAGTGGAAACAACACGAGGAACCTGGACTTCTACCTCAATGGCAGTAATCAGGTACCCTTCTCTCTCCCCTCTGGGCTGTATCAAAGGAGGCCTCTTTGAGGGGCGCCTGGGTGGCTCAGTGGGTTGGGCCGCTGCCTTCGGCTCAGGTCGTGATCTCGGAGTCCTGGGATCGAGCCCCGCATCGGGCTCTCTGCTCAGCAGGGAGCCTGCTTCCTCCTCTCTCTGCCTGCCTCTCTGCCTGCTTGTGATCTCTCTATCAAATAAATAAATAAAATCTTTAAAAAAAAAAGGAGGCCTCTTTGAGATTCAAGGCTTGCATTACTGTCCCATGGTAATTAGCTCATTGTACCCTCTTCCAGTGTCAGTGGAGACCATGTGGGAAGCAGTAATGAGGCACTCCAGTCCCTCGGAGCCAGGGTGATATCAGTGGAGGCCTGCTGGACAGCCATAACTCCTACTGTTGCCCAGCAGTACTGAGGAGCACACCACCTCCATACACCTTAAGTGACAGAGTCAGGGCCCCTGCACTTCTTTCCTACATCTAGTAGTAATGAGGCTGCATGCCCCCTCCCCTACTTCTGCTAATGGAGCAGTGGCAAGGAGCTAGCTAGAGAAGAAGGTTTACCAAGATCTAGAGCCTCATAATACAGTATGCAAAATGTCTAAGTTGGTCATCATACCACAAGCTAAGAAAATCTCAAACCGAATGAAAAAAAGACTCTCTCTATATATCCAATACTGAGATGACGGATTCAGAATTATCTGAAAATGATTTTAAAATGGTTATTATAAAAAAATACCGCAATGAGCAGTAATGAATATGCCTGAAACAAACAAGATATTACAAGAACCAAATGGAAATCTTAAGAAGTGAAAAATAACCAAAACAAACTGAACAGATGTAATCAACACCAGAATGAAGGACACAGGAAGCAGTCAGCAAATCAGAGGATAGAAAACAGAATTAACCAATCTGAGTAACAGAAAACTATAATGAAAAAAAAAATGAACAGAGTACCAGGAATCTATATGAATGTAACAAAAGATCAAACAGGTGTTTCAACAGAGTCCTGGAAGAAGAGGAGAACTAAGAGCAGGGATGTAAAAGTACTAGAAGAAATGATGGCTAAAAACTTCCCAAATTTGGCAAAAAAGATAAATTTATATAGATCCAAGAGAAGCTGAATGAATGCCAAAGAGTATAAACACAAAAGAATCTACATCAACATATAGCACAGCCAAGCATCTAAAAAACTAAAGACAAAAATTTTTGAGGGTAGCAAGTGAAAAAGTGACATCTTACCTATAAGGGAAAACAATTAGGATGACATTAGTCAACCCAATGCCTGTATCTAGAAAAAATACACTTCAGGAATGAAGGGGAAATCAAGACATTTTCAAATGGAGGAAACTAGAATTTGTTGTCACCTGACCTATCCTTAAAGAAGAATTAAGTTCTAAACAGAAAGGAAACAATAACAGGAGACTTAGAACATCAAGGAGGAGGAAAAACAGAGTTATAAAAAATATGAATAAGTACAATACACTTTTCTTCTTGAGTGTCCTAAGCTGTTTGACAGTTGAAGCAAAAACTATAAAACTGTCTAATGTCAATTTAAATGTGTATTAATAAATATGGTAAAGGCAAAGGGAGGTAGGTGTGTCATTGAAACTGGTGCTGACACCATTAAACCGTAATCAGGTATGTAAATATCATGAAGTACCTACAGCAATCATTGAAAAGGATATATAAGGATACATACTCAAAAATACTATATAGATAAATCAAAATGAAATGTCAACATATATTCATGTAATCCACAGAAAGGCAAGAAAAAGAGAAAAACAGAACAGAAAATTAAAAATATAGCAAATTTAAACCCTGGGGTCCCTGGGTGGCTCCACCAGTTGAGTGCCTGCCTTTGGCTCAGGTCATGATCTCGGGGTCCTGGGATCAAGCCCCACACTGGGCTCCCCGCTCAGCTGGGTGCCTGCTTCTCTCTCTCCTTCTCCCCCAGCTCATGTGCTCATGTGCGCTCTCTATCTCTCATAAATATATAAAAATCGTTAAAAAAATTTAAGCCCGGGACGCCTGGGTGGCTCAGTTGGTTGGACGACTGCCTTCGGCTCAGGTCATGATCCTGGATTCCTGGGATCGAGTCCTGCATCGGGCTCCCAGCTCCATGGGGAGTCTGCTTCTCTCTCTGACCTTCTCCTCGCTCATTCTCTCTCTCACTCTCTCTCTCAAATAAATAAATAAAATCTTTAAAAAAAAAAAATTAAGCCCTAGTAAACAATTACACTAAATATAAGTGGTCTCAATAATCATTTAAAAGAGACTGGTAGAATGGATTAAAAAACGTTGCTAACTATATGCTGTCTCTAAGAAATTTACTTCAAATATAATGATACAGGTTGAAAATAAAAAGATATAAAAAAATCTGTCATGCAAACAATCAAAAGAAAATAGTGGATATATTAATATCAGACAAAGCAGACATCAGAGCAAAGGAAATTACAAGATAGAAAGGGACTTTAAGGATCAATCTGCCAAGAAAACAGAGCAATCCTAAATGTGTATGCACCAAACAAGACAGTGGCAAAATACAGAGTAAAACTTAGAGGAAAAAGAGAAGGATATAGTTGGGGACTTCAACTTTCCTCTTTCAACAATCAACAGAACTAGACAGATAATTTACAGGGATATAGAAAATTTCTAGACTCAACAAATTTAAAAGAATTGAAATTAAACAGAATGTCTTCTCTGATCACAACAGAATCAAACTGGAAATCAGTAATGAAAAGATAACAGGAAAATCTCCAAACATCTGGGAAATACACTACTTCTAAATAATCCATGGGTCAAAGAGGAAATCTCAAAGAAAAAAAAAAAATCATTGAACTGAAAGAGATTGCAAATACAACATATCAAAATTTGTGGGACACAGTTTAATCTGAGCCAAGAGGAAAACTGACAAATAAATTCATATAACTGAGAAAAGTTAAGGTCTCAAATCCACACTCTAAACTTTCACTTCAAGAACCTAGAAAAAGAACAGAATAAACCCAAAGCATGTAGAAGGAAGGAAATAATAAAGAGCAGAAGTTAATGAAAATGAAAACAAGTGCAACAAAAGTCAATAAAATGAGCTAGTTCTTTGAAAAGATTATAACAGACAAATCTCTAGCAAGAGTAATAAAAAAAGAAATCACATTATCATTATAAGGAATGAAACAGGATATATTACCATAGACCCTGCAGACATCAAAAGGATAATAGCACAACAAACAACTCCATATATAGAAATCTAAAAACTTATTCATGAGTTTATTATCATCTAAATGTCAAAACCATAGTACACAAAAGAAAATTACAGAAAAATATCCTCATAAAGCGGACATAAAAATCCTTGACAAAATAATAGCAAATGTAATTCAGCAATATATAAAAATAATTATACACATTAAGTAAGTGGAGTTTACTCCAGAGCTGCAAGACTGGTTCAGTATTTGGAGAAAAATCATGAGATCCTATCAATTGATCCAGAAAGAGCATTTGACAAATTCAACACCCATTCATGATAAGAACTCTCTAAAGAAACGAGAACTTCAACTTGATAATCAGCATCTACAAAAAACTATAATTAATGGTGAAAGACTAAATATTTTCCTATAAGACTGTGAGCAAGGCAGGGTATCTGCTCTTACCACTCTTAATATACTGCTGAAGTTCTACCCAGTGCAGTAAAGCAAGAAAAGGAAGTAAGGAAGTGAGACATACAGACTGTTACGGAAGAAAAGAAAATTGACAAAATAAAATGACATAATTGTGAAAAAGAAAATCCCAAGTTATCTACAAAGAAACTTAGAACTAATAAGTTCAGGAAAGTCACAGGATACAAGATAAACATGCAGAAAATCAACTTCTATCTCTATATACTTGGCAGTGAACACTTGGACAATGAAAAGTACACCATTAATGATCACTTAAGAAACAGACCTGTACCCCTCGGGCTAATAAAACAATATATGTTAATAAAAAAAAACAAACACAAAACCCAATCACTTAAGAAAAATTTAGGGGTAAACCAAACAAAGCTTGTACAAGACTTGTATGCTGAGAACTACAAATTACTGATGAAAAAAAAAAAAAATCAAAGACCTAAATAGATGGAGAGACATATTGTGTTCATGGACTGGAAAATTCAACATAGTATAGATGTCCATTTCCCTAAAATTAACATAGACAGGCTTAATGCAATTCCTATCAAGGTTCCAGGAAGGTTTCTTATTAATACAGACGAGATTATTATTTTTTTTAAAAAAGATTTTATTTATTTATTTGACAGACAGAGATCACAAGTAGGCAGAGAGGCAGGCAGAGAGGGAGGAGGAAGCAGGCTCCCTGCTGAGCAGAGAGCCCGATGCGGGGCTCCATCCCAGAACCCTGGGATCATGACCGGAGCCGAAGGCAGAGGCTTTAACCCACTGAGCCACCCAGGCGCCCCTAAACAAGATTATTTTAAAATTTATATTAGAAAGCAAAGAGACGAAAATAGCTAAATTTAAAAAATATATAACAAAATGGGAGAAATATATCTACCTGATTTTAAGACTTATTATACAGCTACAGTAATCAGTATCGTGTGTTTCGGGCGGAGTAGCAGACACACAGATCAGCGGAACACAACAAAGAGCCCAGAATTAGAGTCACACAAATATGCCCAACTGATTTTTCGTAAAGGGGCAAAAGCAATGAAGTGAAGGATATAGGGTTTTCAACAACTGGTACTAGAACAACTATACATCCAAAAGAAAAAATTTAACCTCAAACGAAATCTCTCATTTATATATGACTTATATAAAAATTAACTCAAAATGGATCATGAACTTAATTGGAAAACATAAAATTATTACAATTTACAGCGACAACACCAAATGCTGGTGAATATGTGGAAAAACTGATCACTCAGATATTCCTAGTAGTAATTCCTATTCCAGCAAACAGCTGGGCAGTGACTTAGAAAATTAAACATACAACTACCGTATGACCCAGTAATTGTATTCCTTGGCATTTATCACAGAGAAATGAAAACCCATGGTCACACAAAATCCTGTACTTCAATGTATATGGAAAACTTTCTTTGTAACAGTCAAAAACTGGAAACAACCCCAATGTTCCTCAGTAAGTGAATGGTTAAACTGGTACATCAGTACCATGGAGTTACTTCTCAGCAATAAAAAGGAATGAGTTACTGATGCACAAAAATTGGACAAATCTCTGGAGAATTATGCCGAGTGAAAAAAAGCCAATTCCAAAAGGTTATACACTATATAATTTATATTAACATTCACAAAATGACAAAATTAAAGAAATGGAGAATATTAGTGATTGCCAGGGGTTAAGGAGGGGATAGATATAGGTAGGAGAAAAGGGAGTATTCCTGTAAAAAGGCAAAATGAAAGACTTCTATAATGGACACATTCTATATCTTGACTGTATCATCAACATCTGGGTTGTGATACTGTATGATGTTTTGTAATATGTTACCATTGTGGAAAACTGAGTAAAGGGCACAAGGTGTGTCTGTATTTTCCCCTACAACTGGATGGAATCTATAACAATCTCAAAAAGTTTAATATTAAAAAAAATGAAGTTGTCCAGCTGTCTAATACCTGCCAAAGAGTAAGATTCAGTGGGCAGTGTACTAAGTTTTAGCAAATGCTCAGAACTAGAGTTCTTTTGGTTTCTCACTCAGAAAACAGCCTGAAGAAAAGATCCAAGAACTGGTAAGATAACTTTTGTGAAAATAGGTGTTTAAGGAAACACTGTTTTGTGGGAATTTAAAAATATATATAAGGGCAGTTACCCTAAAGATACAAATGTAGTGATCCGAAGGGGCACCTGCACCCCAATGTTTACAGCAGCAATGTCCACAATAGCTAAACTATGGAAACAGCCTAGATGTCCATCGACAGATGAGTGGAAAAAGATGTGGTGTATATATATACACAATGGAATACTATGCAGACATCAAAAGAAATGAAATCTTGCCATTTGCAATGATGTGGGTGGAACTAGAGGGTATTATGCTAAGCAAAATAAGTCAATTAGAGAAAGGTAATTATCATATGATCTCACTGGAATTTAAGAAACAAGGCAGAGGATCAGAGGGGAAGAGAGGGGAAAAAAACAAGACAAGACCAGAGATGGAGACAAACCATAGGAGACTCTTGATCATAGGAAACAAACTGAGGGTTGCTAGGGGGAAAGGGGTGGAGGAATGGGGTAACTGGGCGACGGACATTGGGGAGGGTATGTGTTGTAATGAGCACTGGGTATTATATAAGACTGATGAATCAGAGTCCTGTACCCCTGAAACAAATAATATATTATATGTTAATTAGCTGAATTTAAATAAGTAAAAATAAAATAAATACAAGGGCAATAAAACATGCATTACAGAACAATCGGCCTCTAAATGAAATGACAGAAGTTCACCCATAAGATCATGAACCTTTTGAATTGTTGATTGTATAGCACATTCACTGTACTTCAGGACACTGGTGTTTCTACACCTCACACCAAAAACAAAAACAGATCTGATTTTCTTACTTATAAGAACCTTAGAAATTTGCATATTCACTGATTGTGCTGTCAAAATCCCATTCTTTTTCCTATTCCTATCCTTTTATTTCTTCAGGTTAAAAATCATATATATATAATCACTTTTTAATTGGACTTCAGAAAGGTGGAAGGTATGAAATCTTTAAATGTTAAGTTTCAGAGACTGGTAAAACTGTGTTGACTCTACCCCACTTGCCCCTTGGTATACAATTCATGGTGACAAATGATGGTTGTTACTGGGAAATCTTTGACAACACATAGATGAGGAGTGCCTTAAATGTTCTTGGTATGAATTTTATTTAAAAATTACTTTCTTGGGGGGGCGCCTGGGTGGCTCAGTCAGTTGAGTGTTGGGACTCTTGGTTTTGGCTCAGGTTGTGATCTCAGAGTCATGATACCAAGCCCTATATCTGGCTCCATGCTGAGCATGGAGTCTGCTTCAGATTCTCTCTCTCTCTCTCTGCCTCTACCCCTGCTTGCGTGCATGCTCTCTCTCTCTCAAATAAATGGATAAATAAAATCTCTAAAAAAATAAAAATTATTTTCTCGGTATTATATTTAATATATGGTCATTAACAGTATATATCTCTTCCTTTAAAGTTTATCATATTATGAGTAATCTATTTCTTTAGAATTGGAAAATAAAAGAGAAATAGTTCTATTCAATACCCCTATGTTAACATGATTTTCTTTTTTCTAGTCATTCAATTATACATATGTATTTTTTCAATTATCTTCCCAGACCTATAACTGAACTAAGAGCTAACAGTCAGTTTTCTCAAGCGCGCCGAGGTCTCCAAAACTCTTCTCTGCAGTTGACAATATCAAGATTATGGTATACTTAATTATAGGTACTTGTCCCTAGAAAATACTGGAGATGACTGAGGGAATGATTTTCATTTTTAGTTGCTAGTTTGGGGTCTTCCAAGTCTCAAGGTATTCTATTTTAATTATTTAATACTAAACTGTGCTGACTGACAAAGTCCAACAGCCATACAAACTACCTGATGGTGAAAACAGGTAGAAGCAACGTGGCTTCTTTGATTCAGTCCTAGTTTTCAATTATTACAGCAAATGTTTGTTACTGTGGAAGCAAATATCCTATCAGAGGTTACCTTATGGTCATATCTGTGAAACCTACAGATGGAAGGAAGGGGTAAGAAAGTTTCTAGAATCTCTGGCTTAGGTCTTGAGAATGATGATAACAATGCTAAGTTATTTTTCTGTCAAACAAAATATATAATAAAACTAGGGAACTTAGGAGTAAAGAGAAATTGGGGTGCCTGGGTGTCTCAGTGGGTTAAGCCTCTGCCTTCAGCTCAGGTCATGATCCCAGGGTCCTGGGATTGAGCCCCGTATTGGGATCTCTGCTCAGCAGGGAGCCTGCTTCCTCCTCTCTCTCTGCCTGCCTCTCTGCCTACTTGTGATCTCTGTCAAATAAATAAATAAAATCTTTAAAAAAAAAAAAAAAAGAGTAAAGAGAAATCTTATCAGCCATCAATTCAAACCTTTTCTGATGCATGAGTTTCCTTTTGTTCGGAAAATTAGTTGTCCAACCTTTGCTTGAATGTCTCCAATGACTGATTTCTTACCTGAAAAATGAGGGGATTACAATGACTGCTGAGGCCTCTATAAGTTCTAAGTCTGTTTGATGAAATCTAAACTTCTGTTGGCTAAATTGTTTTCAATAAGTGAAATTAGTTTCCTCAATCTATTCTGAGGTTACGATTCCTTAGCATATGTGTTATATGTATTAATAAGTACTTAACATCCCAATCTTTCCAGGTAGTATGTTCAGGTAAACACACAAGGACAAACAATTCCCAGAAATTTCTAAAAACAAAACAAAACAACCAAAGGACCAGGATGTGACAGGGGAGATGTCCTATTTCTTTTTGGATCATATGCAGATGTGTACCATGTCTGGGGCAAAATTTCTAATTCTGTTCAAACTTAGTTTACAATAAGTGATTCTTCTGATGTCCTGGGCCATTATCACAACTACTGACCCTAGTCTCTGCATGACTGGTACTGAAAATTGGTAGTCTTGTGATTCAGGCAAGGATCATGAATGAATGATAAAACTACTGGGTGAAAGGTAGTTGGGGAACAGGATATATCCATGGTCGCAAAGTATCTCCATAAGTTACTTTAAACCAAAGGAAAACAGTCCCTTTACATTGGAAAGATCTGGCAATCCCCACAATAACCAATAAAGATACAATATTGACTATGTAGTACTCTTGCCAAAAATGTTTGATCTGATTCTGATCCTGAGGGAATGACTAGAAAAATCCACAATGTGGGACAATTTGTAAGACAACTATACTAGTCTTTTTAAAAAGTTAAAGTCCTAAAGAAGAGGGGAAGAAGGCTGTTCTAGATTAAGTGACTAAAGAGTCATGACAACCAAACAATGTGTGAACTTTGGACCTTGAATCCAAAAAAAAAAAAAAGTTCTGAGTTATAAATAAGACATTTTTGGGATAACTGGAGAAATCTGAAAGTTACCTTATTAGGTGTGATCATCTTATTGCAGCTATGTAATATACTGGTCTTAAGGAGATACATGCTGGAGAAATTAGGGCTAAAGGTCATGTCTGAAACTTACTTGCAACCCGTCACCAAAAAAAAGTGTATCTATTTACATATGTATGTATGGAGATATGAGAGTGGCAAAGAGGAAGTACATAAAGATGTTAATACAAAAGAAATGTAAGAAAATTCTGTGAGCCATATTTTTTTGTTTCAGCGCTATCAATTGTCTTTGATAGTTCAGATGTCTAAATTGATCTGAACTTGTCTGATCAATACAAAAATGAGGCTCTGCCACCTATCCCTTTGGTTTAGAGTTGTAGCAGGTTTGGTAAGTTATGTCTGATTAACTGGCAACCCCAACTCAGCTAACTACTAAACAGGCAAAAACAACTTTGGAAAGATTATTGCTTCGGGGTTTAAAGCATGGCTTCCAGGCCTGAAAGGTGAGCCTATGAGCATTGGACTAGATGGGGGCAAGATTACTTGGGTTTTAACCCCAAGTCTGATATGAAAGGGGTCTGTAAGATCCAGATCAATTTATTCAAGTAATTTTAATACGTTTCTTTGCCTACCGTCACACCTTAGAGACGACAGAGGGAAGGTCATTTTTTTCTTTCATATTTAAGTTTCAGCTACAAAATAAGGGAGTTAAGTCATCTTCAAAGTCTCCGACATTGTTATCTTTTAATTCACTTACATTATAAAACAAATAGTGAACAAACAGGTACCTAAGAGCCCCATAACGAAGAGAGAACTGTAACTGGCATAAGAAATAATGACAATTACAGAAATGTATCAAGAATAATCAAAAGATTCTCCAAAGCTGAGCCCCTAAGGTCCCTTTTAATTCTAAGATTTTTTTTTCTATGAAAATAGATGGGATGCAGAAATAAACTTATTTAACTTTTACAGATTATTTTTGCTTTAATTTTTAAAAAAACCTTTTGTAATGCGTAAAGGGAAACGTCTAAATAGTGCGTCCTCAAAAATCAGCGAATCAGGTAAGGGGTGCGGGATCATGGTATTCTGTCTACAGAAGATTTTTCAGTTAAAGGAGGGTCTCCTGTCTGTCAGCTCAAGGTCATTGCGTGGATGCTTTAAATTTAACTCAGTGCTCCAAAACAATACCCCGACTCCCGAAATCCGAATTGGGGGTGGCTCAGAGCTTCAAATTCCGACCCTCGCCCCAGTGATACGGTCCCCGGGCAGCGCCCAAACCCGTTCTGGGGACGCCCTGCCAGTCTCTTCACCCCCCCCCCCAACCCCCCAAGTCCCACGTTCACGCGGCGGCCTTCTCCAGAGATCCCGCCACCTTCCCGAGCGTAGCCTGGTGCCCTCCGCCTGGGAACCCGAGATTCTAAGGGCAGAGAAAAGAGACCATACTTGAGCACAGGCTCTCGCATCCGACACCAGTGCGAGGTTGGGGGGCTGCGCTGCCCGTCGATTCTAGGGGCGGAGGGTCTGGGTCAGGGAGGGCGCCGCAGTCGCTGGATGGGAGAGAACACGTGGGAGAGGCGTTGTCAAATAGCCCTTAGACTTCAAGACGCGGATTCGTTACAAAGCAGGGAACTCTGGAGGAAAAGCCGCTATCTCCAGTGAATTCTAAAATTCTCTAAGGATTAAGTTTTGTAATCGTATACTTACTCAGTGCTTTCTAGTCCTGACTTCCTCACCAACAACTACCCGAATCTGTCGAGAGTTTTGTAAAATTAATTTACTTAATCCCAGGTCCCTAACGGTCTCCAGGAGCTGCACTGTAAACAGTCCCTAGTCAACAGGAGTGGTATTGTCAGTTAAGCCGGGACCTGTGCGGGTCTCCGATGAGAACCTCCAGTTTTATTCAGTGTTTAAGTCTGGTGGGGCAATGTACTGCTTAAAACAATAAAATCAAATCTGCACCTTTTAAATCTTTTACGTTGGGAGTTTGTTTCCACCCGGAGAGGGATGGAGGTACACCAGAGGGCGGTCAGCTTTTTGGTTGGGTGTTTTGGACGATTTTCTTGGCGCGCATGCGTGTTGTGTCTCAAAGGACGACTTAAAGAGAAGTGGGTGTTGACTCGCGGGCAACTGAAGCTGTTGTCAGATTACACCTGTGACTGCCGGGTTGTGAAGCATTCGGGAGACGCAGAGGGGTGAATTTAGGTGTCCGATGTTTGCATCTGGAGGGGTGTGTAAGACTCTTTGGCTGAAGAAAGTTATTAAGCTTCTTAAGCTTATAGTTATTAATAACTATTTTAAATAACTTTTAGTTATTAATAAATTCTCAAAAGTTATTAAGCTTTTTTTTTTTTTTAAAGCATTTCAGTTTTACGTGCTTGACTCCCGCTTCTCAACAGATGTTAACCTCGCCTGCACATCTGTTTGGTTTTGCACTGCCAGCTCTTGGCTTTGGAAGTGCTCTCTGTTGTTTGGTTATTGTTGCTCATGCGGCCATTCTCTTGTCATCCCCACTCTCAGATTCACGGGCGTGTGCATTAATGGACTGAGTGGGATTGATGGGTAAATATGATGTTCTAATTGTCTCTAATCCTGGATTAAATACCAAACTGAAATTTCTAGCTTTGCGGATAGTGTTTAGACGTTGTTTTATTTAAAGGTTGATGACTGTTTTAAAATCACTTGAAATTCACATTTTCTTTATCATACTCCTCCTTCATTCCTTCTCCCCCAAGTCCTCAAAGCGGTGAAAATTTTGTTCTGAAGTTTTATGGACCCAGAAGAAATTCTTCTTTTGAGTACCGTGGGAATAGTTTTGTTACCAATAATATGAAAGGCTCTGAGTTTAGCCCGGAAAAGAAAAAAAGGGTTAAAATACCAGCGAGGAGACTTCGTGAGGTAGTTTCTCCAAATCAGGGAGATAATTTGGCTTTGCTGAAAGATGAGTTGCCCTGTGTTCCTCCAGCGTTGTCTGCAAATAAACGTCTTCCTGTTAGAACCGAGGCTAGCTTGAATGGAACGTTACGTGGTATGTGACTCCGAATAGCTTTCACTTTTGTAAATCTTTAGTCTTTATTTTCATTTCTTTTTTGCGTTTCAAAATTTAGGGGATTTTTAATCTTTAAATTATCAAACATAAGATGCATCTAGTTTTAATAGGTGTTTGAAAGCTGACCCCTTTCTCTGGGAAAATGGCTAGTACAATCAGTCTAATTGAAACATATCCAATAGGTGGAATGAATGAAACACTCTGTGCTTATTCTTTGTGTGGTTTTTGCACATTGTTCTTGTTCACATCTATGGTGGACACACTTAACTAGTGTGATGTGTTTACTGCTCATCAGTAGAGGTTTTTACCAAATGCTCTACCTTCTGTTTGGTTGGTGTTACTCAGTTTGGCATAGTAGAAAAGCATAACTTCTGCCTTTTGATGCCTTCCATGTTCCAACTCACTTAACCTGTCTCTCCAGTGAAAATGAAACATATGCTTTGCCCATTTCATTGATGATCATAAGTATCAAATTAATGAATATATGTGCAAAAACAAAAAAATGCATTTATAGTGCTGCTTTTGGGGGAGGTGTGGCATAATAAAGGCCTGCTTTTATATCATGTACATATTTTATTCCTGGCACATTCTACCCATAGAATGTCCAAAGCCAACATTGTAATGCTATATTTTAAAACATTTATCTCACTTGATTGTCAGTACTGATCCTTATTTTCCAAAATATCAGCTGTAAAATCTTCATCAGGATATATTTTAATTACAGTTTAAGTTCTTTGCATGAAAAATGGCTTCCAGTTTAGGTTTAGCGTTAATATTGAGTTTATAGTTCTTGAGTCAAGCCTATACAGTTTCCAAAAATATGGTTCTGATTTTAAAGTCACTAAAATTGATTCCTTTGTTTTGTTAGGTTCAGCAGACTTGACTAGAACTTATCAGCAGCCTCCATTAGCAAATTCTACTGGGCCAGAAAGGGTAAGCAAAAGAATTCTTAATTATGTTCACGTTAAGGTTTTCAGTATTGTTGAGTAATGTGTTCCTAAATTATGTTGGATGAGCAACAGGCCTTGTTTTTGCTTTAATTTCACTTACCAAGAGAAATGTTTTATATCCAATTGTGACTTGAATAGTATTTGAGACATTAAACAAAAATTCTTCCATAAAATAAAAAATACTCATTATTAAGATGTTGAACACTGAGAGAAATATTGGAACTGAAAACAAGCTCTGCTGTTACCTAAGAAATGGGGTTCTAGACCGGAGACTTCATATACTGTTAGGTAAAGGTAAAGAAATAGTAACAACATCATTTAAAAAAAGTGAGGTATGATTGTATGTTATCCAAACGATTGTAAGGTCTTTTGTGTGGTTTTTTTGAGGAGTCTTTAAGAAATAACATGAAATTCTCATCTTGACCTTTATAATGCTGAAAATATTTGATGATCAATACATTTTGTTCATGCAATCTAATTAGATTTTGACCACTATCACTATAGATTGTCAATTTAACAAGTCTTTAAAGAATAGAATTTCATAATATAATATCTTGAAAATTGAAGCTGGTAAACTAAGAATGAAATTAAAACTGTCTACTTACCAACTTTGCAAAAGATTCACAATAAAAATGTATAATTATGTGCTGTACTTGGTCCCTCTGTAAATGCTTAGCCTTTGGGTTGGTGTTTTTGTTTCTTTATTGAATATGCCTTATTTAATGATTAATGGTATTTGAATTCCATTCTCTAAATAATTTCCCAGAGGGATATGCTATTATATAAATTACCTCTGGAAAGACTGTATCAATATGTGTTCTTCAGCAAGATCATGAATAGAATTAGTGGTATTATTTTCTCTTAGCTTTACCAATACGAGACATCAGAATTAGACCAAAAAAAAAAAAAAAAAAAAAACCAACAAACCCACAAAACAAAACCACGAAACTTTGCCATTTTGATAGGTAAAGAAAGCATCTCATTTTATTTTGTCTTTTATTATTACCGATGGGGGAATTTTTTCCCATGTATATTGCCATCTTTATTCTTTTGTGATTTACATATTTCTATGCTATACTTTTTCTTACTCATTTGTAGGAGGTCTTTGTATTAATGTCCCAAATGCATTCTATTATATTGTTAGCCTCATTGACTATTTTTAGAAAGTTAACAGTTGTTTGTCAGGAGATAGCCTGATCACCTTCCTTTTATGATTTTCTCTTTACCCTTTTCTGATTTAGCAGGAAAAAAAATTGATGTGTCTAAGGAACAGGAAGAGCAATGTTGAATGAACCTAGTACTTAAAAGGTCAAGATGTTTTAGCATTGAATAGAATCTTAGAAATGAAGTCTAGGGTTACATATGTGAACAGAAAGCTGTTTGCCTGTGGAGAAGCCTTCTGAGACTACATTTTGAGCTCAGGGATAAAGAACACAGTGATTAATTTGTGATGTGCCTTGTGTTGGCCATCCTCATGCACTCCATTTGACTCAAAATGAATCAGATTTTCACATTAAACTGTAGCAACTTAATTGTTACGTGACTCCCTCTGCTAGAAGTGGCAAATTGAGATCTGAGTCTGAATTTTAGGACCACATTGCTTGCTTGTTTATTTACTCATTCAACAAATCCTTGAGTACCTTCGAGGTACCCAAGCGTTGTGGTGGTTCTGGGAATCGAGGGTATAAAAACACACGATCCTGCCCTCCTGTCTCTTAGCTAGTAAATGGTACTTAGTAAGTAATAAATCATAAAGGTTTTCTAGCCTTTCATTTTTCCTTTCATATCCCGAAGGGTTTTTCTAAGGATATTGCAGTGCAAGGGTTGCCTTTGGAGAAACTGGAAGAGAGCAACAAACAAAAAGGTAAAAAGGTAGACTTTTTTTGTTTTTTTTCTTACTGTGGTGAAATATACACAATGAAATTTATCACTCTAAATGTATAGTTCTGTAGCATTAGGTATATTCCCCTTATGCAGTTATCACCACCATCTGTTTCCAGACTTTTTTCATCTTCTCCAGTCAAAATTCTGTACTCATTAAATACTAACTCTCCATTTCCCCCCAAGTCTATCTAGTTTTATTATTGTCTTATTTCACTTAGCATGCCTTTGTGGTTCATTTACGTTTTATGTGTCAGGATTTTCTTTGTAAGGATAGGATTTTATATTTTTATGTTTTAAGACATTCATTGATTTTTTTAAAAGACCTTAATTAAAAAGACTTATTATTTTTTCTGATTATTTTGATCGTCTCATCTTAATAATCTATTAATGGAATCTTTGAAAACCAGAAAAAGGTTTATAGTCATAAAGGTAATTTTATTATTACTAACCTGTTGCATAGTTTGGTGTTAAGTATTTATTAAAAAAAATTTATAAACTCTGAATTCAAGTTTTGAGTAGTCTTTTGTAAGATAATAAGTTAAAAATATGCTTTGAGGAAATATTTAGTGACTTTTTTCTTTTTTTCTTTTAAAGATTTTATTTATTTGGCAGACAGAGATCACAACAGAGATCACAAGTAGGCAGAGAGAGAGGGGGAAGCAGGCTTCCCGCTGAGCAGAGAGCCCG